GTTTCTGTGTATTCATTTGGGCCCTAACTCAGGCCGGCGGCTGGCCTAAAGCACACATTTGGGGCTCAGAGGCTTTTGGTGGAAAGATTTATTTTAACAGTCTCCCCCAACTCTTCTCCTCTTCTCTTTCTCCTATCTCCCTTCCTCCATCCCCCATGCCACCAAATTTAAAATTGAAGGTAGGAAGCTCATAAAACTTAGGAATAGAAGGAAAACTACCAGTCTCACATAAATCATTCAACTTCCAAGACTTAAAACCCTCGGGGAAGTTAAGCAGGGCATTGATGGGCACATGCCTTTAATCCCAGCACGCGAGAGGCAGAGGCAGGTGGATCTCTGTGAGTTCAAGACCAGCCTGGTCTCCAGAGAGAGTGCCAGGTTACGCTCCAAAGCTACACAGAGAAACCCTGTCCCTCTCCTCAACTGGATTCGAGTTCAGCTCAGAGTTTAGCTGTGGGTGTCTGCTTCTGCTTCCATCAACTACTGGATGAAGGCTCTAGAATGGCCTGTAAGGTAGTCATCAATCTCATGATCAGACGGGGACATTTAAGGTAGCTTCTCAACTGTTGCTTAGATTGTTAGTTGGGGTCAAACTTGTAGATCTGTGGACATTTCCCTAGGGCCAGAATTCTCTTTAAACCTAATTCCTCACAAATTCTAATGGCTTATATTTTAAACTGCTGTGTTACAAAAGAGATAAGCAAGGAGAATTCATAGTGAGCACAGGCAGCAAATAACCAATACTTTTCCTGGTTTTGCTGACTATGGGCTTTTCAATGTCTTAATGTCATACTCTAAACCAGGGGCTTTTAGTAAGAAATTTGTTGAGCACAATTTCATCTGGTAGATATTTCTGCTCAACTGTGCTGGGTTGTAATATGCAATAAATAATAGAGCAAATCTCAATACAACTGAACAACTGTCAGCACAGCCAACAGTGAAGGCAATCACTAGGTTGGGAAAAGATGACTAGGGAGCAAACATAGACCCAGCTGCCAGGGCTGGCAGTTCACATCTTCAAAACTGGAGGCTGCAGCTGCCAAGCATTGCCACAAGTATCTTTGTTCACTGACTTCAGGACTTGGAGAGAGGAATGGAGAAATAAAATTCTGCATGTGTTTCACTCCTAGAAGTAGTTTTTAGCATACATAGCTAGTTACAACTTTTCAAGATATGGCTAGTTATTTTATATTTTGTCAAACAAAGGACCTATTCTTTGAGCAGTTTTTTTTTTAACAGTGTTTTTCCAATTTTAAATGTTGTGAATCTCACACTATTTTTGAACATTCCATGAGTTCAATTATTCAAGTGTGTTTCCACAGAGGATAAACTGTGGAAATTTAATAGACATGTAGTACTGAAAGTTCAGTGATATTGAAAGCCTTCAATTAGGTCTATACTTTATCAAATATATAGTCTTGCAAAAGCAATTATTGTGTTATAAATATCATGATGAATTAACAGTTAAAATACTAGGTAGAATTATGAACCCCTTGTAGCTTGCATAGATGTTTTTCAGTCAGAGAAAGTCATCAAAATGAGATTTGCTAGTGAGATTCTTCTAAGAACCCAATTTTAAGCCACATGTATTAACTCTTGACCATACTTGATAATTTTCTGCAGTGACTCTGTATTTGCCTGTCTACAGATGGTATCTATATTAGTGAAGTGGTTAGGGTAACATTGTATATTTACTAACATCTGCTGAAAGCCAGGTTTTGGGGTTTTTTGTTGTTGATTTTGTTTTTTAAATAAGTGCTGGGAATTAGAGAGATGAGAGGGTAGGAAAGAACAAAGGATGTGCTTCCAGTTGAGCAGGAAATAGTTTCCAACCCCCATACGTTCCAGTTCCAGAGAATTTGACAACTTCTGGCATCCACAGGTACTGCATATATGTGGTATATTACTTGCATGCAAAGCAATACACCTAAAAATTAAAATTAAAACAGAAAAGAAAATTAAGGCTTTAGGTATAAACTACTCTTGGAAAGTGTCTTGCCATTTGGTAGGACAAAATATATTCAATATAATATTCACATAATGAACACAAAGAAATTATGCAATGGTAGATTTATATAATGTATGTCTGTATTTAATGCTCACAAATAAATAGAAAAATATTCAAGGATGTTCATCATGCATTTCACCAAATACATTGGAAAAATAGTCAATAGAGTTTTCTGAAGAGTCCAAAACCATGCTCCTCAAAGAGGAAAAGGAAATGAAAGAAGAGGGGTGGGGAAGAAAGGAGGAGAGAGGAAAGGAAAGAAAAAGAAATGGAAGGAAAGCAGAGGAAGGGAATGGAAAGAAAAACAGAAAGGTATTGTTTGTGTGGAGCTATAAGATATCAATAAAAAAGTAGTGTCAGAACACCTTTCTCGTGAGATGTTTATTTAAACTGATGACAAATGCTTCTTGATGAGGTTTTTTAATTTTTTATTTTATGAATTACTTTATTAAACAATATTTTCTACTTCCTGTATATACAGCTTATGAATATATCACACAATCAATTTAAAGCTGCCAAATTATGTAAACATGTTAACAAATGAATTAATTCATAAAATTGCTAGATAACAATTAAATGTCCAGATAAAATTAAGAAAAAGATGTCTAAGTTTGGATTTTATTCTGATATTAAACACACACACAGGCTAGAGAGATGGCTCAGAGTTTAAAAACATTTGTTGCTCTTCCAAAGGTCCTGAATTCAATTCCCAGAAACCACATGGTAGCTCACAACCATCTATAATGAGATCTGGTGCCCTCTTTTGGCATGCAGCTAGAATGTATACATAATAAATAAATTAATTAACACACACACACACACACACACACACACACACACACACACACACACACTAGAGAGAGCATTCATTATAGGAGATCTAAGATAAATGGTGTGTTATGAATATTCCTTAAAAGCCAAGGTGGTAGAGGCTTATGCATTTAATCCCAGCACTCAGGAGGCAGAGGCAGGTGGATCTCTGTGAGTTGGAGAACAGCCTGGTCTACAGGAGCTAGTTCCAGGACAGGCTCCAAAGCCATAGAGAAACCCTGTCTCTTAAAACAAAACAAAACAAAACAAAACCCAAAAAAGATAAAAAACAAAACAAAACAAAAAAACCCCAAACATTCCATAAAATTCTGAAAAATAAAGCTTTGGAAAAACAGAAAATATGACTGTAGGTTTTTAAAATAAATTATGTTTTGTGTTTTCTATATGTCTACATAGATAATTTTGAAAACTACTATGAAATGGAAAATATAAAATGGAAAAAATAGTGAATTAACTCATCATATAAAAAAATTCTCTCTGTGTGCCACTATATGCTATACATTATTTCATGAAGAAAAGAGAAAATAAGTGAATTATTTATTAAAAGAGAAAATAAGAGAAGTTCCTCAAAAATGTCAGTATTTCAGATAATATAATAGAATAAGTGATATTCAGTTGAGGAACCTGGTCATTAAAATGCTAATGGAGAATGTGGAGAAGCTAAGAATATTAACTGTTACTGGTCTTTCAGAGGACTATAGCTTCATTCACACAACCCATATGGTAGCTCATCATTAGCTTGAACTACAGTTATGTATATTGACCTTATTCAAGCACCACTATGTAACTTGGTCAATCCCAGTGTCTCCTTCCTCTCCCTCCTTCTTAAATCCATTTATCCTTCCTTTTATTCATGTTATTAATAATCCTTTTGTTTCATAAAAATATTGTTGGGAAGTTGTCAGCTAGTATATTCTCACCACAGAAGTCAAATGGCAAAAATCCAACGTACAAATTACATTAATGCCCACCTTGGTGAACTGGTGAGTTTTCTTTCAGCTGTTTTTAGCAATCTGGGTAAGAGACTAAATACAAAAACAGAAATTAATAAAAGACAGCTTCATCAACAAAAATTCAGTCCTGCAAGGATGACAGTGCATCAAAAATGGAACCCTAGAGCTCTAGAGCACACTAAAAAATTGAAGGCAGCTCTATAAGACTGAGAGTGTCATTTATAGGAAGTTTAGTTGGTGGCTGCTTTTTCCAGGATGTTTTGGTATCTGATCAAGACTTTGTCTTCATACATGGTATTAAGTTTCTTCTTAAATACTTAAAAAAGGCAGAATAAAAATAATAAACTTAGTCAAGGTCTTTTATAAGTGATCTAAACAATGATTATTTGGTTGCTGAAGTTTGAATCACTTGATATGATCAAATTTATTATGAGTTTGCAATACATTCCTTCAGGGGACAATTGTAAGGCAACAGAAATAAATTTGTCCACTTTCAGTAATTGATTAAATATAAATTAATCAGAAAAAAAGAAATCGGACTTACAGAATGGATTTTTAAAATAGCACAGCTCTAGGCAGTCATTAAAAAACGTGTTTTCTATCCAATGACAAAATTGGATTGAAGGCAAAAACCAAATAAAGAAAAAAAGGGGGGCTGGGAATGACAACTGAAATTGGAGTATATAGTCTATTTGTGGAGTGATGTAGAAAAAGTGCTGTGAAACCTTGGTGGAGTTTTTGAGAGTAACACTAGTCAAGTCTTCTAGTAATAGGGATATGGAAACAAAATTTGTCATGTTCTATAATAAGCCATGGCTTTTATCATTGGGATGACACATCAAGCTGGTGACAAAACCTTTGAATTACAATCATCCCTGTCAGCAATATGTCCTGAGGCAATGCTGGTGTAGAACTTGTGGGAGTGTACAACGCATAACTGGTCCAAATTGTGGCCCATGAAGCAAAAGGGAACCCACACCTGACAGTGCTTGGAGGGGTAGGAACCAGAGGGAGGAAAGCCCAGAGACCCATGTTAGAACCACAAGAGTAGGGCAAAGATTCAATCAAATGAATCCTAGCTGTATTCTGTTGTAGGGGAAGCTGTAGCCATGCCTACTTAGGCCTTGAGAGGGCGTGGTCAGGGTGATGTAGTGTGAGACTTTGAGGGGATTGCATTTTCTCTTTCAGTTTCACTTTTGTACTTGTGGTATAGACTGCTGCATGCTGGCTGGCTAGGTTGCTCTGTAAGTAAGGCTTTTCCCTATTAAATACCCTTGTATTTCTACCTGACTCCATATTGTTAATTTCCCACTATATCTGGTGTCAGGACTGTGATATTGGAAACCTACACACCATTTGGGACAGGCTGTGGGTCCCACCGGGCCTGTGGCGTTGGCCGGGAAAGGTCCCTCTCTTCAGAGGTGTTCCCGGATTCCTACTATTTATGGTTGGGATTGGAAGCAGGTGTTCAGGCTTGGACACCTCTTTCAGATGACTTTAGGGTTTAGTTAAAATAGATAGTTAGGATGTGACATAAGCAGATTGTTGTATCCTCTTATATTTCACCTTTATGATTGTTAATTTTGGATACTTTACACTGTTAAGTTTTAATCCTCTTTTAGACTAAAAGGGGAATTGTAGGGTAAGGGGCTGGCTACTTAGGGGCTGGCTACAGGTGTGCCTGACCACGCTTGCGAGGACGTGGTCAGGGTGACATAGAGTGAGACTTTGAGGGGACTGTGTTTTCTCTTTCAGTTTCAATTTTGTACTTGCGGTACAGACTACTGCCATGCCGGCTGGCTAGGTTGCTCTGTAATTAAGGCTTTTCCCTATTAAATACCCTTATATTTCTACCTGACTCTGTATTGGTAATTTCCCACTATATTCTGCTGTACTCATAATGTAAGTACCTAGCATAATTGTCATCAGAGGGGCATTATACAGCAACCAAGGGGGCTGATGCCAAGACTCACAGCCAAATACTAGGGAGAAACACGGGAAACCCCACAGTAGAGCTGGAGGAAGCAGTGTCGGATTCACAGGGGTCTTAGACACCAGGAGTACATGGGCCACAGAATCAAACCAAATAAACAGGGGCCGTAGGGGCTCAAAGATTTGAAGAAACAACCTGGACCATGTTCGGTTCTGATATGCATACAGTTATGGTTGTGCAGCTTGGTTTGCTTGTGTGACTACTAACAATGGGAGTGGGAGTATGCCTCTGACTCTTTTGTCTGTGCTTCGGCCCCTTTTCCTTCTACTGAGCTGCCATATCTAACTGTTTTATGAGGTTTTGTGCCCGGTTTTACTGTGTCTTGTTAGGCAATGCTTAGCGAATAGCCCTGGGATGCCTGCTATTTCTTCAACTTTTTCTTTTTGAAACAGAGGGGGAGTTGATCTATGGGAAAGGGGAGGTGGGAGTAGATAGGAAGAATGGAAGGACAGACATTGCAGTCAGGATGTAATGTATGAGAGAAGAATAAAATTCAAGAAAAAAAAAAGAATTTTCAAAAACCAAGAAAAGAGACAGAAAGGAATATTAGGCTATACTGATATCTGAAAAATGGACATAAGATGGTGTAAAATACATAAAAACTAGATTTTACCTTAAAGTCATTTAAGAATGTAAAAGAAATGAATAAATTTAATTTATATAGAAGAATACAAAATTTTGCATAGTCATGAGGCAGAATTCATCAATATGAAATAAAACTTGTAAATACAACCACGAAACAAAATAATTTCTAAAATATATATAATAGCACTAGTGGGATTTAAAAAAATGTTTTCTATAGTTACAGTAAAGAGCTTGACAAAACAATTTAAATAATACTTAGAAAATAGAGACATAAAAGTGAATAAGCAAATCAAATTCTTGAAATCAAAATAAAAGCCGGGCATTGGTGCTGCATGCCTTTAATCCCAGCACTCAGGAGGCAGAGGCAGGTGGATCTCTGTGAGTTCAAGACCAGCCTGGTCTATAAGAGGTAGTTCCAGGACAGCCTCCAAAGCCACAGAGAAACCCTGTCTCAAAAAACCAAGAAAAGAAAAAAAAAAGAAATCAAAATAAACTAGAATTAATATGGATTAATATGGCCAAGTCATTTAAGTAAAATACAGAGTTGACTTTTTTCTAGAGTGCATATACATTTTACAGGATTTACAATATGTGAAACAAAAATTTCTTAATTATAGCTAGATTGAAATCATGAAAAATATTTTCACAACAGTGGAACTACAAAGAAATAGAATAATTTGAAAATATAATAATATATATGTTAAGCAGTTAAAGGAACAAAGGAGAAATTACAAGTATTATTATGTTTTAGGGGAAGTTATAACAACAACAGATCATGATGAAAGCTTTAGAATATAATAAATATATTATACAGGAAGAAATTCTAAATTCAATTTCCTTCATTGAAAACTAAGCAAGATATCCTATATCACTGTTCACTAGAGCCAAGCAATATGATCAGTGTAGGTTTCCATCAACACATGAATAAATAAATAAAATGAGGTAAATGTAAACAATAAACTTTTTGGCTGTTGAGAATAAAACTGTGTTTATTTCAGGGAAATAGAATTTGAGTTCACTATGTGGAGACACACATGTAGACCCACAAAGAACATGCACTTATAAAGGAGACTATCTGGGAAGAAGTTGGGTACTTGTGATTAGATAAAAGTAAGACAGTAAATGGTTCTATGGTTGAAAAAATACAAAGATTTTAAACATTTATGACTAGAACAATTAATGGAAAGAAGCTGTGCATTTTAAAACACACCAAGGGCATAGGAGAGTTTGGAGAGAGGGAAGAGAGGGGAAAATGATGCAGTTATATTATAAACTCAAAAAGTGAAAAAAATCATCTTACGTATTATGTGGTGCACTTGATAAAACTGTTGTATAAATCCTATTTCATAGCAAGGTACAAAAAATAGAAATAAATTTAAAGAACATTATCCTACTTTGCATCATAGCAACTGTCGAACAATTGGAAACTAAAAACAGAGACAGAATAAAGGAAACAAAAATTATTGTAGAAAAATAAAAAATAAAAATTTTCATTAAGCAAAAAGATTATTATTCTCTCTCAAAATCTCAATTGTATCATTTTTTAAATCATTCAACAAAATTTACAAAGATTTAGGAAGACTGAAAGAGTTGTTTCAAGAATCAGAAACTTGAGTAGAACCTTGAAGAAATATGAAGACATTCCATCAAAGATCCAAAACCAACAAAAATAATATCACCTGCACCTCAAAACAGCAATAAAAGAAATAAGTACAATATACTGAGAAATTAGACAACTTCTATGACACATGCTAACAAAGAACACAGAATGGAACAACATACCAGAATGAGTCAAGATTTATTGTCATGGCAGGTCTCTGCTCAACAATCTGACCTTGTATTGAAATACCCTATGCCTTACACTTGTTCATATATTGTAAAATACTTTTGCACAATTACTTTTCAAAATCTTATGGAAAAAAATCAAAAGCATAATTTTTTTCTACAAGGCTTTATTTGTAATTCTTTTTTCTCAAAGCACAACCAAGGTTCTTTGTTTCCCAGTTTCCTCTCCCTTCCCACTTCCCCTCCCTCCACTGACCCTCCACCCACTCCACCCACTGTCTGCTCCCCAGGGAGGGCAAGGGTTAATTTTGGCTCAAATGTTTTCTGGAAGGAGGTGAACATAGCTTTCCATTGTCTGTTCTAGACCAAGAGAGTTCAGAATCTTTCTGTATTAGAACACTTTAAAAGTCTTTAGCACATATTAGCAAATAAAGTAAATTTTGATGCTTTTAAGTATTAGCTTAATAATCAACTGAGTCTTTTCTACTTTCAACCCATTTTGCTGTGATGTTTTCCTGCTGGGAGGGTTTAGCCTAACACCTTATCACTTTCTCAGACTTTACTTAAGAGAACATAGGTCTATGATTTGAAATTGGAAATGTAAATACTTAACTACTCATCGTAAAGTTGTATGACTCCTAGTATAAACATGCCAGAATTTCTCTGGACCATTTGCCTAATGGCAGAGTTACTATGTTCTAAACTTAAAATTGCCTACTTAAGTCATATTATGGAACATGAAGATAATAGTCTGTGCCCAAACCAGGTTTGTCCATCTGACCTCCCCAATGCTAATTTAAAAGATATAGAGAAGAAAATGAAGATTTGTGAAATATGACCAGATTGGAAAGGGGCCAAAAATATTCAGAAGACTCACAAATTCCTCTACGGTACCTTGGAGTGAGATTTTAGTTAAATGGAGAGTCAGAGAGAATCACATGTTAGCTGTCCCAGTCAGGGTGTGATAACCCCACCATTTGTTCATCAATGTTTGAACATCAGTCTCTTTCTATAAGGTGGTCTGACATGGTGCTGGAACTTTTAGTTATCTTTTTACAAGAGACAAGTTATGTAGTAGGTGATGGTCTTATTTGTTTCAGTATAAAATTCCTAAGGATTCAACCACTTACTTTGAGTCCATTGCTTCAATTATATTATAGATTAGAAAGATACAATCATCTCTTTAGTGTTTTCATTTAGCTAAGGAAATTACAGTTTTATATACAGATTAATGCCAACTATATCACTAAAATTAGTTCTGTTGTTGTCAGGAGAGAACATTGAATCTAATCATAAAGTTAAACTGGTATTTTGTTGTTTCTATAAAATGATAGCCAATTTTGTTCTGGTTATTGCTCTTCTCCTTTTGTACTTTTGTTATTTTTGATAACCAATGACTCTTCATCAGCTCATTTGGATCATATTCATCTTTTGATTTGTATATGATATTTTAGAGCTGTGACAAATACCAATTTTCAGGCCAAGACTGTTTGAAACATTTACAGCATATTGAAGTAATGAAACTATAAATTTCTATGAGTTCAAAAATCATCATTCTTCCCATTTCAAATTATGAGTTTCTTATTATTAAGTCATTCAAATTAATTTTATTTTATATTACTTAAATTTTATCTTTTAACTTCATTATAAAAAGTAGAAAATAAAATAATAAGTATATATCATATACGATATATGTACATATGCAAACAAGCAGGTACGTAGATATAGTTTAACAAGAAGAGAACAGTGGAGCCTCAATATTGTAGGATAAAGAAAGACTGAATTCATGTAATAAACATGAGTTATGAAAGAAGATACAAAGCTGATTGTTTCTCTACTTCTAACTTGATCATATTTTTTTTCGTTTTAGGTGGTAGGTATATTCATAAAATATATTTGATAGTAAAACTATAAAATCCTATATGAATTTTCACATCTTCCATTGTGAATTCCTATATTTGATGTGTAAGAGTTCAATGTGTTGAATAGTCTTTGGATGATTACATTTAGTGCCTCGCACTTTTAATATGTGTTTTCTGTTTATTTCTCCCATGATCATGAAAACAGTTTGTGATTATTTTTTTAAAGAATAAAAGATATACTGCTGAGAGAAATGGAAAAAGAAGACACAAAGCAGAACTTACATACATATTCAGAAAATCTGTTGACAATAGTTTTCTAGTAATAAAGTAAGCAAAACTATGAGTTATTTTTGTCCCCCTGTTCAAGGAAAGATTTTCCAGGTATTATTAATATTACTAATATTACTCTCTGCTTGCTTAATGATTATTTTCATTAATTTTATGTCATTTTCTTCTGTTTCATCTGTGTTGAGATGTTCATATCTTGCTATTGTAGCATCACTAGTTTCTAGTCGTGCCTTAATGCTCTTTTTATTGTTGTTTTCTTACCTTGTGTCTCAGCATATCTTCCTCTAATTGGTATAGATGAAGCTTCTGCTTCAGGGGTTCTCTCTTTCTCCAGTTGGTATATTTGGGGGTTGTGACTCCCTTGACCACTCCTTCAGGCACAAGTAGTGCAGAGCTTCTGGTAAATGTTAATCCTCCAAAGCTGCTCCAGGGTTTGATGCTGGGACCTCCCACTGATAATGCTTTCCAGTTCTGAGATTCATGGCTCCCTTGATGCTCCTCTGGACCTGAAGCTCAGATCTTCCTCTGACGCTGCTTCCAAGCTGGGATTTTGCCTATCACTCTATTTTGGCTAATTTTGCACCGTACCTGGAATAAGTTTTATTTTTATTTCTGATACTTAAAACGTCTAAATTATTCATGAAACCTGTGATATGACTAATATAAAAGGTTGTTCAATTCCTGTAATATTTACTTTCATGGAACAAATAAGAGTTCAAACTAATTGATTATTAAGCTAAAGCATTGAACTCTGCATTTTGCTTCAATTAATTTTCAAAGAATTCTATTAATATAATCATCACTTAGATCTTCCCTTTTATGTTGTCAAGGCTCAAATCCCTTTGCTGGTTAAATAAATATTCATTTGACAGAATAGTCTCCTTTGGACTGAGATCCTCCTTCTGAAGATCTCTAAATAAACAGGCGGCACATTTCAAACCCTTATATTAATAACTAGATCCTGCTATATCTCTTTCTCATTGAACCTTTTAAAGCCCTATGGCCAAAGGATTACAGCATGGCATAAAGGGCATTAAAATAATATACACAGATTTATTATAAATCTATTGCCAAATTAATTTTACTCTTTGCTTTTTCAAAAAAAAATTAGTACAAATGAAAATGAACATGAATCATTCTATTTTAGATATTTTAAAAATCATACATACTCTTGTCATTTCATTAAAATAACAAAATAATGACTCATGTCAAAAATATTAGCCTATTCATTTTGTTAAATTTTATGTTTAATGTGTTGCATTTGACAAAATTAGGTATATTCTACAAGTATGTAATTCTTGCTTCATGTGCACATTGTAAAAATATTACTACAATTAAGTTAAAATATATACAATGACCTCCCTCAGTTATCAGTGTGTATATATGTATGTGGATGGTTCTGCATATGTATGTGGTGAGAATAACCTAAATATATTCCTATATCCTATTTTATGTATGACATAAAATTGTTAAGTGTAATTACATGCTGCAAGTCAGATATCTAAAATTTAAACCAAAAGACAATCTTGTTTTCCTCTTTAATTGAAAATGGATTCCTTTCTCATACAATATATAATGGTTGCTGTTTTCATCCTTCTACCCATTCCACTTCCTCTCACGCTCCCTTCTCATTTGGATTCATTCCCTTTATGCCTCTCATTAGAAAGAATAGACTTCTAATATAAAACAACAAAATAAAATATAATGAGACAAAAAACAGTTGGACAAAGCAAACCAACAGGAAAAAAAAAGCCCAAGAGAAGGCACACAACTCAAAAATCCACTCATTCAAATAATCAGGAATCCCATAAAAATACTAAACAGAAAGCTATAATACAAACAATGGGGTACCTGTTGTAGACCCATGTAAGACATACAATTGTTGCTTCTGTCTGTATTAGTTCATATGAGCTAAATCATAAGCAAAATTGATTCAGAGACACATTTTCTCCTGGGAACCTCCATTTGCCAGGGCTCTTCGATTCTTTCTGCTTCCACTTCCTCTGGGTACCCTGAGATCTGAGTGGAGAGATTCAATGGAGACATCCCATTAAGAGGTGTGAGTTCCAAGTTTGCCACCCCCCTCTCCATGTGTGTGTGTCTGTGGGGGGTCAATGTCTGAGTGTTGGTCTCCCATCTGCTTACGATACTTATTAGCATCTGCTTAGGCAGAATATTTCTCTGATGATGACTGTATAAGTCATTAATTTGTGAGTATAGCAGAATATCATTAGAGTCATCTGAATGTTGCTTTTTAATGTTTAATATCATTAGTCTAGTAGTACTTGGTTTAACTCAGGGTTTATGGACCATCTCACCGATTCTTGATCATAAAAGCAGTGTCCAGTAAGGTTCCACTGTCTGAAGGGTGTCCAATGTCATATAAGAAATTGGTTGTTTATTCCCAAAAGCTTTTTGCCTCCATTGGCCTAGCATATTTTGCAGGAAAGATAGCACTGTAAACAAGAGGCCATTGGATGAGTTGGTATTTATATTTCACTTTTGATAGTCTTCATTGTACCTTCCAGTAACCAAAGAAAAAAAAACACGACTGATTTTTATATGAACTACACTATGAGAGCATAACACTGGATGGATATATTAAACTTGAGGGCAGGCCGCAGGGTCAGCAGCTCTTAACAAACACAAATCCATATCTATCAGTCTATTTTTGTTTTTTCATTTGTTGTTGATTTGTTTGAGCTATTTTTCTTTTCTTTTTTTGAGAGACAAGAAGAGAATAATATTAAGTAGATAAAGAAGGGAGAGGAATCCAGAGGCCATTGGGAGAGGAGAAAACATATGTGCATTATACAATACTTGAAAAATTATCTTAAATAACATAATTTTAAACAAAAATATAACTGCCAAATCTTAGTGGGGTGGTCATGGTAAATTTTTGCTTTTGCTTCTTGGAGACAGTTTTAACTTAGAAAGTTGAGGAAACAACAAAGTAGAGGATGAATGGTATCTGGAGGTTGACATACTGATCCTCGGGGAAGGTACAGATGTGAATTTCAGCATGAAGAAAGGAAGATATTTTCTGTTGTTCAAGGTAAATTTGTGGCTGTAATTCCTCACCGTGGCTGATGTTTTTATTACTTTCTCATATCCAGATAGCATTTTGCTCTCTAAGCTGTTAGATTCTGTGGTGTTTATGTGAATATCAGGCGATTATTTGTGTGGTTCATAAGAAATTGTCTTTATGAGGGGATATTTTAGTGACATATAAAGTGAGTTGCTTGTTAGGTCAAAAAAACCACCCCTCCTAGGAAACTATGGCAAGCACCCCCATGAAGGTTTTTACCAGGTATGCACAAATGCCTTATATCACTAAGAAATTTAGATACCTGACAAGTGTTTCTTTCTATATGACTTTTCTTCTTTTAATTTTAGTAGAAGCTGTGAAAGTTAAATATGCTAAACTATATTGGAAGTAAAATAAGTCTGAATTTTAAAAATAAATTCAGTGTGTTCTTGGACTTTTTTTTTTTAAAATGTACATTCACATATGAATTCAAATCAATGAAAAGAGTTAAATTTTGAAATATGTTTTAGTAGATAGATAAACAGAGACATAAAGCAGAGATATTTCCCTAACTAATGTAAGTATTATTAAGAAGCTATTGATATTTGTTTTAGTTGAACACACTGAGGTATTTATTTATCCTCTCTTACCAATCAAGGCAAACTCTCCATGTCATACTTACCTAGCATACAAATAAGTATGAAAGTTGCCAGTTTTCGACAATCCATTTTACAGAAGTTCATTTATTCAGCTATTCATTCACAAACAGGAATATTGAAAGGCTTTATTCTGAGCCCCCAAAGAAGCTTTATTTCAGATCAATTTGTTTGAACAATTGCTTAGCAAAGCATAGCACGCTGTAAATATAACATGCTTACAGAAATACATTGCTTAAGGAGAAAATAAATAGTACATAATTTTTCAGTTTGTTCATTCCAAAACAAAAACAGCATCTGTTTAAGAAAAGACAAATGGGTTTTCTATTGCAGGGACTTTTCAACAAAAACACTAGAAAGGAGACCTTTCAATTAGAATCAATAAAAGTCTACATAACAAACAACATTTTGCTCTCTTAGTAAGGCAGTGTATTTTTTTCTCAGGAACCAGTACCTAAGGAACGAGAATAGAAGAGAAAGATGTATTGTTCAGAGCAATTATATTGAAAACATAAATAAATAAAGGTGGTGGTTTTGTGTCAGTCTCTGACACTGCTCTTGGAATGAACACTGAGGTACGATAACTATAAAGATTCAGCAAAGAAGTTACAGCATTGTAAATCAGTTTGCAAATATAGCTTGAGTTTGGTTTCTCATTTGTAGCTTGAATGAGTATATGCAAACTAGGAAACAAAAGTAATTTAATCATTTAAACGATCAGTTTTTGTATTACAAAAGTTTGAAAAGCATTTGTTAAGTGGTCACATATCAGCATCAGGAAAATTTCTAATATGAATATTATTTATTGTATATAAAATTCACTCCTCCAGGATGAGACATACCATATGAGAGGGAGCCACTATAGGTCCAAGAAGAGATCTGGGACCATGGAGATTTCCAGAGACCTACAAGGATGACATGATCTCATAATCAAGGCAATGGTGGAGAGGATAACCTAAAAGCCCTCCCCTAAAATGAGATTGATGATTTCTCTTTATGCCATCCTAGAGCACTCATCCAGTGGCTGATGGAAGCAGATACAGACATCCACAGATATACACTGAGCTGAAAT